TACTTTGCTAATGGAGTGGTGGTTTCGCCCGACCAAAGTCACGTAATCTTCTGCGAAACCCCCAAGTACGATATTAGTTCACGATGTTATATATTGCAATCCGAACGTTTGATCTAGATTGATAACATGATAACGTAATATGTTACATTGTTTTTTTGTTTGTGCGTGCTATAGGAAGCGATGTAAAAAGTATTACATACAAGGTGAGAAAAAGGGAAGTGTAGAGACTTTTATTGATCCGCTGCCAGGCATGCCAGACAACATCCGATATGATGGAGAAGGCCATTACTGGATTGCATTACCGGTGGTAAATACAGAAAGTTCCCACTTTACATTCTTGCCCTTTAATTTTCAAACATTTCCTTGTAAAGGGCTTAACAAGTAGTTTCTGTTTTTTGTGTGCAATTTTTTGATGCAGCCGCCTACGCCTGCATGGGATTTAGCTGTTAGATATCCTTTCACCAGAAAAGTGCTGGGAATTATGGAGAAGTACACAACAGGGATACCCAGTACACAGGAGGACGGTGGCATTTTGGAGGTTGATTTAGAAGGAAATTTGATTTCATATTACTTTGATCAAGAATTGACAGATGTTTCAGGTGCGATCAGGATTGGAAATCACATTTTCGGCGGTTCCCTGCACAGTCCTTACATACTTAGCTTCGACATTCAAGAATATCCAGCAATTGATGTTGCTTGAGGAACAAGCAGCTATATATATATATATATAGGGTTGCATGTATGACGCTTGCATTTGTACTACCCTCCATATTCTCCAATCATGGGATGGTGGGGTACAATCGTTAAGATTTATTTTAAAAGTTATTTAGTTTCAATAAAGGTTGTTGCCTATAGATAGGAGACTGGTATTCCCTAGTCTATAGGAGAATCTCTAGTTTGTAAGAGTCATGATTAGTCCGTCTTTCTTCATGCTTTTAATCGTGGGATGTAGTTCCACAAAATCTGAAAGTTGTGGCTGAGTTACTTGCGACAGTAACTTTGGTGTTTCTATTTAAGATGTAATTTTTCATTCAAGTTTATTAAGAATTAAGTTGAAGTCTGTCAGCCTTTTCCTATTTTTTTCAACGTTCTGGTTATTTTTCTTTAGCCTTTTAATTTTCAACATCTGGTATTAGAGCCCCACTGGGACTGACTTAAAAAATCCCAAACAGCAGTAGCTTCTTGTATCTTGCAGTAGCAAGAATTTATGGCGACTAACAAGCCAGTGTAGGGGCTTTTTTGTTCCGACAGCTTCAAATGGGCTGGGCTGCCGTAAGGAGCGAAAATAGGTGAAATTACTCCCTGTGCCTGAGTTTAAGGACTAGGCCCCAAGAATGTTTCGAAAGAATAGTAAAACCTTAGGAAACAACCTGGTTATCTTCACCAATAGAAATAACGATGGCTTACAGGTAGATTCTTAGCTTGGTATGAGAAGTTTGTGGCATGGGAGCAAAACCATCATGAGTTTAGCATAAACAGAGAGAAGGCTATGAATTCCTATGAGAAACAGGGGTTTTAAGACAAGGGGGAATGGATTATAAGAGGGTTTGTTGAAGAGAGAGAAAGATGGGGGTATAATGGGTGTGTTGAGTAGTTTCCGGCAGCTTGACGAAAACTCTGTCAAGCTCTGGAACGCCTTAATAGAAGAGAAAAAGGGGAGGAGATGGAGGAATAGGGCTCGAAATTGCAGAGATTTCAGGGTGAGAGATGAAGCTTGCTCTTTGAATGTGTGTTGGTTTTGATGGGTAGAAGATGACCCCTTTTATAGCTGCTGGAAGCCCCCTTTCTCCAAGAAACCCTAATGGTTTGTATCCAATTTGGCCAAATCTTTCCATTCTTTTCTCTTCTCTTCCATTGACTTATCCTATTTGGTGAAATCCTCTCTGCCCAATTGCACAAAAACAGGATTTGGGGAGCTCTAGGATTTTCCTGTAGCTGTCTCAATGGGGAATGCCCACTTTCAGCTATCTTTCTTCCTTATTTTCTCCCATCTTCTATGGCTAGATCTGATAGGCAGAAAGAAATGGATATGCACGCTGGTTTGAAAGGTGCCTCCCTTCTTGCACACCAATATTCCATGGTTCGTTGGATGTTTCTTGCTTAAAACTTGTTCCTTCCCATGTGCTGGAGCCTCCCAGCAGCTCACACCTATGGATAGCTTTGGTTTTTGTCGTTGTTTTTATCTCCAGCCATGTGCTGGAAGTCTCCCATCTTCTAGGGCTAGATCTGATAGGGAGAAAGAAATGGATATGCACGCTGGTTTGAAAGGTGCCTCCCTTCTTGCGCGCCAATATTCCATGGTTCGTTGGATGTTTCTTGCTTGAAACTTGTTCCTTCCCAGGTGCTGGAGCCTCCCAGCAGCTCACACCTATGGATAGCTTTGGTTTTTGTCGTTGTTTTTATCTCCAGCCATGTGCTGGAAGCTTGTAGATATTTTCTTGGTTTGCTTGGGCTTTCTTAAGGTGATAGGTAAGCCTACTAAGGGAATGAGCTAATCTTTTCAAGTGATGGGCTAATTTTTCTAGAGTATTGGGCTTCCTTTTTCTCTCTCTTTTATGCTTACCCACATATTTGGGCTCAAGAAATGGGCTATTTTTCTCTCTCTTTTATGCTTACCCGCATATTTGGGCTCAAGAAATGGGCTTGAGTTTTGGGCTCCCAAAAAACCCAAAACTTCCATTTTTCGGCTCATCAATGAGCCTCATGAAAGCTCGTTACCATCCATACCACAACCCACTCAGTAAGCCCCGGACATTTGCGTGGCTTGGGCCCACTTAAGCTTGTGCATGGCTATGTGTAAAATAATGTGTAAAATAATGATGTTTCGCTTGGCATGGCATGTCGATTGGCGTGCTTGAATTTTATCACCTTTGGAAAGGGATATGATGCTTGACGGGATAATTAGCTTGGGCTCGTAGAGCCAATGCATTTTATAGGCTATAGCGTGGTGGATTCCATATTGAGCTCCCAAAAAAACCCAAAACTTCCATTTCTCGGCTCATCAATGAGCCTCATGAAAGCTCGTTACCATCCATACCACAACCCACTCAGTAAGCCTTGGACATTTGCGTGGCTTGGGCCCACTTAAGCTTGTGCATGGCTATGTGTAAAATAATGTGTAAAATAATGATGTTTCGCTTGGCATGGCATGTCGATTGGCGTGCTTGAATTTTATCACCTTTGGAAAGGGATATGATGCTTGACGGGATAATTAGCTTGGGCTCGTAGAGCCAATGCATTTTATAGGCTATAGCGTGGTGGATTCCATATTGATTTGGCATGGCACGTGGTCGTGGCTCGTGCAAGCGTGCATGACGAATTTCGCGTGCTCCGAACCGGGTCTTTTCTTAATAAGGTGTCATACTGGGCCAATAATTTATTTGGGCCCAACCCTGGATTTTTTAGGCCTCAACAGCCAGCAGAGACCTTTGTCCAGCCAGCCATACCTTGCTTTGATGGTCACTATGATCATTGGAGCATGTTGATGGAGAATTTCCTAAGGTCCAAAGAATATTGGGATATTGGGGAGACGGGATATGAAGTGCCAGAAAAAGGAGCACTACTGACACAACAACAACATAAGAAACTTGATGATTAAAGGCTGAAAGATTTAAAGGTGAATAATTATTTATTCCAAGCAATTGATCGTGCTATTTTGAAAACGATTCTCCAAAAGGATACAGCCAAAAACATATGGGAATCCATGAAAAAAAAGTACCATGGGTCAGCAAACAGAAGAAACTTGATGATCAAAGGCTGAAAGATTTAAAGGTGAATAATTATTTATTCCAGGCAATTGATCGTGCTATTTTGAAAATGATTCTCCAAAAGGATACAGCCAAAAACATATGGGAATCCATGAAAAAAAAAGTACCATGGGTCAGCAAGGGTGAAGCGTGTACCAACATAAGAAACTTGATGATTAAAGGCTGAAAGATTTAAAGGTGAATAATTATTTATTCCAAGCAATTGATCGTGCTATTTTGAAAACGATTCTCCAAAAGGATACAGCCAAAAACATATGGGAATCCATGAAAAAAAAGTACCATGGGTCAGCAAGGGTGAAGCGTGTACAGCTTCAAGCTTTGAGAAAAGACTTTGAGATTCTCAAATGAAAGGAGGAGAGTCTATTACAGATTACTTTGGGAGAGCAATGGGAATTGCAAACAAGATGAGAATCCATGGTTACAAGCTCAATGATGTGGCCATTATTAAAAAGATCCTGAGATCTATGGCTCCCAAGTTCGATTATGTTGTGTGCTCTATTGAAGAGTAAAATAACATTGACAAGATGTCAATAGATGAGCTGCAAAGCTCTTTGCTGGTCCATGATCAAATGATAAATAGAGGCACCTCAAATGAGCGAGCTTTAATGCTTATATTTTTGCTGAATCCTCAAGTTCAAGAGGAAGAGGTCGAGGAAACAGAGATGAAGATGGAGGTCGAGGCAACAAAGATGAAGGCAGATCATCTCATAATTACAAGAGGAATGATGACCATTCCCAAAACAGAGGTAGAGGACAAGGTGACAAGTCCAAAATTGAGTGTTATAGGTGTGGCAACCTTGGGCACTATCGAAATGAGTGCTACACGAAGCTGCCCAAAGAAAAAGAAAATGGAGAAATATCAAACTTTGCTGAAAAGAAGGAAGAAGAAACACTTTTGATGGCTTTCCATGCCAAGGAGGAACCTGAGTTGGATGTACGGTATGTTAACACAGGTTGCAGCAACCAAATGATTGGTAGTAAGTCTTCTTTTTCATTTTTAAATGAAGATTTTCGTATTACTGTAAGTTTTGGGGATTGTTCAATTGTTAATGTGTTGGGAAAAGGGTGATATTCAAATTAGGACTAAAAATGACTTTGTTGAGACAATTTTAAATGTGTTTTATGTTCCTGATTTGAAGTCTAACCTATTGAGTGCTGGCCAATTACAAGATAAGGGTTATGTTATAACAATCCAAGAAGATGTGTGTGAAATATATGATCCAGCAAGGGGTGCCATTGTCGTTGTTCAAATGACAACAAACAGATTGTTTCCGCTGAAGATAAAGACATTTCAGGCTTGTGTAATGGCTAAGGAAGATGACTCGTCATGGTTGTGGCATTTTAGATATGGTCACTTGAATTTCAATGGATTGAGGACACTTCATCAGAAGCAAATGGTGACTAGCCTTCCCATGATCACACCACCATCCAAAATTTGTGAAGATTGCATTGTTGGCAAGCAATACTGAGATCAATTCCCAAAAGGAAAGGCGTGGTGGGCTTATAATCTGTTGGATTTGGTGCATTCAAACATATGTGGCCCAATTAATCCAATTTCAAATGGTAAAAAGAAATATTTTGTTTCTTTTATCGATGACTTTAGTCGAAAATCATAGGTGTATTTTTTGCAGGAAAAATCAGAAGCTTTTAATGCATTTAAAAGTTTCAAGGCACTTGTTGAGAATGAAATTGGAAGAAGTTAGAACCCTTCGAACATATCGTGGTTGAGAGTATTTCTCAAAGGAGTTTGAGGCTTTTTGTGTTGAACAAAGCATAAGAAGGCAGCTCATAGCCACATATTCACCTCAACATATAATGGTGTATCAGAGAGGAAGAATTGAACCATTCTCAACATGGTTAGAAGTCTGTTGGTCAAGGGAATATTTTAAAGTATCGCCTCACGGCTATACACTATAAATAGAATATTTTAAACTATCGCCTCACGGCTATACTCTATAAATAGAATATTTTAAAGGTATATCTGAGCGGCTATACCCTTTAAAAAGTATAATCTAGATTTCTCTTTTTTAATTACTTTAATTAGTAATTATATTTTAATTATTATTTACTTAGTGAATAATTAGTATTTAAATATTCTATTAAAATAATTAATTACTATTTATTAAGCAATATAATTTATGAAAGAAATAATACTAATTATTCACGAAATAAATAATAATTAATTAATAATAATTAATAAAAGTAATTAAATAAGGCTAAGATATTATTTAATTACTAGAAAGAATTTTTTTTAAAAAAAATTATTGAAATAAAGATATTAAGTGTATATTTATTTTTTTTAAACTCTCCCGATAAAAGTTCGTCCGCATATGTCACTGTCGGCAAATATTTGCCGGGTTAGACCTCTGCTGACGAAATGTCGTCAGGAGAGGTCTAATCCGGCAAATTTTAGGCCGACGAATGTCGTCGGGGAAGTTTTAAAAAAAAAATATAAAAGTATAAAATTAGTTTCTATACTTTTGTCTTTTGTCAAATTCTTTAAAACAACAGCCGCGCGGCTATACTCTATAAATAACCTATACTTTTAAAATGCAATCTCAGTACAATCTGATGATGGAAGGGGTTGATGTGAAGGATCCAAAAACAACGGAAAGTGTGGCATTTGATGGGAAATCAATGGGGGAGATTGTGTTCAGAGGCAACACTTTGATGCTGGGTTATCTAGAGAATTCAAAACCAGCTCATGAGGTTTTCATGGGTGGATGGTATAGGACTGGTGACCTGGCAGTTAGGCATCCAGATGGGTACATTCAGATGAAAGACAGGGCAAGGGATATCATTTTTTGTGAAGGTGAGGTTATCAGCACCCTTGAGGTGGAGGCAGTTTTGCTGATTCATCCGCAAGTTTTGGAGGCTGCTGTTGGGGGAAAATATGATGAGGTTTTGGGGGAGACTCCTTGTGCTTTTGTGAAGTTGAAGGAGGGGTTTTTCAATATTTTTATTTCTTGGTTGTTTTTCTTCAATATATATTTGGATTAAAAATATTATAATAGTTACGATAATCAAAGGTCTAATATCTATAATTGTTTAAAAAAGAAGTAATTAGTTTGTTTAATCTCAGTCATTCATTTTGGCCTAATCTAATAGTTGAAAATTTGTGTAAAATTACTTGTGTCATGGGTCCGCACTCATATCTAAATGGGCTTGAAAAAACTAAGGCTTAAAGTCATTTTTAATAATAAAACGGATAATTAATTGCAGACAAAATTGTTAGAGGGAATCACCACAATAAATTGGGGAACCCAAAATTAAAGAGATTTTCTATTTAAACCCCGCACTTCTCTTTATTCACCCCAATACTTAAATCATTAAGCTGTAAGTTTTATTATTATGTAAAAAGACAAAAAAGGTCATCCAACTTAATACTTAACCCTAGTACATCTATACACACACCCCACCACTCTGGGTCAACACGGGCGGCAGACCGCTCGGGCTCGCTTTCGGACTTTACAATGAAGTTGTCGTCGCTGATGCCGATAAGGTTGGTACACGTAGGAAATGTTCAATATTTTTATTTCTTGGTTGTTTTTCTTCAATATATATTTGGATTAAAAATATTATAATAGTTACGATAATCAAAGGTCTAATATCTATAATTGTTTTAAAAAGAAGTAATTAGTTTGTTTAATCTCAGTCATTCATTTTGGCCTAATCTAATAGTTGAAAACTTATGTAAAATTACTTGTGTCATGGGTCCGCACTCATATCTAAATGGGCTTGAAAAAACTAAGGCTTAAAGTCATTTTTAGTCCATGTAGTTTGGCACTTCAACCACTTTTGACTCTGTAGTTTCAATTCCGTCAATTTTGACCATGTAGTTTTGTATTTATAGCAATTCAAGGACAAGTTAGTATTCCTGTCAATTTTTTTGATGGTGCAAGGGGCAATTTTGTCAACACAAAATCCTTGAGCATAAAAGCTCGTCTGAAACTCCCCTAATTTCATATTAGGGCTTGAAATTGGTTATTTGGGTTTAGGGTTCTTCAAAAATTGGGATTAGTGGTTGAATTTCGAGCCCTAATATGAAATAGGGAGAATTTCATACAAGCTTTTACGCTCAAGGGTTTTGGGTTGACGAAATTGCCCCTTGCATCGTTAAATATATTGACAAGAATACTAACATGTCCTTGAATTGCTACAAATACGAAACTAGAGTGGCAAAATTGACGAAATTGAAACTACAGGGTCAAAAGTGGTTGAAGTGCCAAACTACAGGGACCAAAAGTGACTTTTGGCC